CAGACAAACTGAGTTTGATTCATGCCCTACTAAGCAATTACGGCTGTCTTTCCCCCAATCCCAACAGCGATAGGATGGAGGGGGTATGGGATGTGAGTCAACCATGTAACTCAAAGTGCACACATTTCCACATTTACGTCCAAAAGTGGGACACAGTCAGAAAGATGAGCTGCTCGGCGAGTGTTTGGCAACTGAGTCACACGACGCTTGACAAAACCTATTTGAAGCTTGTTAAGAAATGGGCCTGTCAGCAGTAGAGCTCCACCACCGTTCACGAGAGAGACACCGATGGAAGCAAAAACAACCCCTCTGAAAAAAGGAGAACCTTCTACACTGTCTCGGAGTCTTTGCTGCCTCCTTTCATGAGCGTCTTGTAGTTAAACACCCCTCAGAGCCCGGGTTGAATTAGTCCACGGCAGCACAAACACTTGTCATAAAGCTGCGATTGTAGCCCCAGAAAATGACACCTCCTGGAATTTTGTGCGCGACTCTGGTTGTGTTGAACTCCTGAGTCTGTGTGAGTGAGAAAACCCGGCCAGATTAACACTTTGTTGGTAATTTAGTGGGACAGAGGATTGGACACTGTGTTAAAGACTTTCAGTCACAGATATGGAAAGCCTGGCTGGTTTGGCTTAAAGCAGTGCAATACACACCGGCACCTGTTTTGATTGCACAGTTTGTGTGTCTGTGAGCGTGCGAGCGCACACATGCAGACCTATTTTAAATCACAGCGCAGTGCTAAGAAGGGAGAGTTCCTTCCGTGGAATAATAGGTTGGACCTGACATTAGAGGGATTTATTCATGCTAAGTTAAGAAACAGTTCAAGTATAATTTAGTTTTATGTTGAAGTTGAGCAGTTGGTGTATTATAAATCTCTTTAAGTGTAGGAGTTTCACAGAGTCTGCAGTAATCCACATGGTTGTTGTCTAAACCTTAACTTTCCCTTCAGCAGGGCTCACTGTCTCCACTGTTTCTTTTGCTGACTCTGGGTTACTATTTGGAAAGGAAACTTTCATTTATAATGTGTTTCTGTGTGCAAGAAATGAAGCACTACATTTGACAATATATAATAGAAATTAAGATATTTTTGTTAGTATAGTTTTATTTTGCACAGATGATAAATTGCAAACAGAGGGATGTTGGCTGGGGAGGGTTCTGTATGTTTGATAAATAAAAAGAGCAAGTACAGCTTAATAATCATTGTAAGAGTGTGTGTTCTATTTATGACTGAACACCTGATAATAAAGAGCTTAGAAAAACCTCACAAGCTAAACTAGTAAACTACATATTCATTTGAACTATTGTTCCTCTTCCTGCTAAATGGGAGAAAATGTGAAGGAGAGTTTATCCTGATAAACAACACTTGAATCCTCCAAAGTAGGTTGTGAGTCACTGGCATCTTGTCATTGTAAAAATACTAAAAGACGTAGCTAGCGCTATCATAAAAATGACAACAAAGGCATGAAGTAACTCAAGACAACAAGGGCTGTGTGGGAACCAGCTTCCATCACCATCATGTCACCAGGGAGACTAACTTTTTTATTTAGTTGTGGGCGAACCAATCCCCGCTAACATACCATGACAACCAGGTCTCCTCCATTTTAACACGTTCTTCTCCCTTTCCAGGAGTCTACGCCTTTGGTCTCTTCACTGTGGACATTTTCGTAAACGCGGGCCAGGTGGTGACGGGGAACCTGGCGCCCTACTTCCTGACGGTGTGCAAGCCCAACTACACGGCGCTGGGCTGCCAGCAGGCGCTGCGCTACATCAGCCACCAGGAGGCCTGCACCGGGAACCAGGAGGACATCCTCAGGGCCCGCAAGACCTTCCCCTCCAAGGAGGCCGCGCTCAGCGTCTACGCCGCGCTCTATCTGGCCGTGAGTTCGCTCCGTCAAACCGTTTCCCCCCCCGGGGCCCTTTTCCACATAAGCCTTTTGATCTGCACAATGTCACATTTCTCTGTTAAACAGTCACTGTTTTATTAATCTGAGAGTTTAGGCTGTTTAGGCTTAAAGCCTTCTTCTGTGTTCTAATTTGCCAAAGAACCTCAGTTTTTTATTCTTATTTATTTTACTTAAATAACTATCATCTTAAGTCATCACTTAACCCCTAATATCACATTATATTGTTACTATTATTAGTAATATTAGTAGTAATAGTAGTATTATGTTATTTTGAAATAATATCCTTTCTGATTTAAGGGTATGGTAAATGTTTTTTTCACAATGATCTATCTAGAATTCAAGGCTACATTCCAAATTTTGTTAAATTACTTTTTTTTTAGGTTTTCATATTGTTTTTGGTTTGTTTCCAGGTTGAATTTCTTGGTTTTCCTTTGTTTTCCTGTGCTTTCCGTCAGTTTCCTTTCTCTTAGTTTTGAGTTTTCTCAGTTCCTCCCCACGTTCGCTTTTATTCTGATGTAGTCTCACGGCTCTCCTGGTCAGCTCCACGTCCTTCTCCTGGCTCATGTCCACTCACAGTCACTGTTCTTTGCATTTAAACTCTCCGGGTTCATTCACTCGTTGGCAGGTCCCTACCGTCTCTATGCACCGTCACAGTTGCTATCCTCATCCCCTACTGTCTCCAGCTCTTTCAGCTAGTTCTTGGTTTGGATGTTCTAGGTTTTTGTTTGGTCAAGTTTAGTTTTAGCTTTGTGATCCGGCATTGCTGCTTATTTAAAAAAAAACTTGTTTTTCTTTTTTGAGATAGTAAGCCAAAGTGTATTTGAAGCTCATTGGTTCCCCTGTTTTCTGCTCTGCACTTATATATTTTCCCCCGCTCGTAACCGTAACAACGTCCTTGAAAAGATTGTCATATATTATTCTAACTCAGTCAAAATAATGAAGAGGGCAAACATGTCCGTGACGATGCATGAGAGTGAAAGTGTGATTGAGCTTTGAGGATCTCGTGATAATTGAGTCATTCGTTTTTCGTCTATTTCGCCCAAGGTGAGCGAGTGAGGTTTCGGCCACCCGGTGGACATTAATGTGTGTACAGTCACGGGAGACTGACCATAATTACCTGCCTTCATTCTTTATTTGGGGAAGCCTGCAGTAGGTGCCCATAAGCATAAACACTGATCAGTCATGGATGCTCATTGTTTACTACAAATGGCCCCATATCTTTGCAATAAATCACCCAATTAGATGATTTATGAAAAGAAAGACACCATATCAAAGAGTAAAAAGACATGAAATATCAACCTCCACTTTGCAGTCCCTGATATTTACTTTTTTTGGTTAATTGAATTAATTGAATTAGATTAAATGAGCAGAAGAAAATTTCACAATCAAACATAATTAAATATGTCAAAAAAAGAAAAGCTCACTCTGATTATGACCTGCCTATTATCCTCTTAACCTCGTGATCAAACCCACGCCCCGTGCTTTTGGCTGGATTATGTAAGCGCGATGTGCAAATCAAACATTTCCAGAGAGGCTGCGATTCTTGCCGACGGTCTAATTCCTCAGATTTTTCTGTGTCAGATTGCTGGCGTCTGCCCGACTGGCCGTAAGCGATGGGTCCCTGGCTTTGGACCATCAGTGGCTCCCTGCATGATGGAGGGAGCAGATTGCCTCTGTTATGTAGGTCATTTAGAAAAGGCCATTGTGAATGCTCCGCTACGGCATGCATCCACACACACACACTCACACACACACACTCACACATAAGCCTGGAGCCATGCAAAGATGGTGATTACTCCTCTTGAAATTCTCATTATCTTGGTCATTTTAGCAATGACACAACCAAACACTGCGGTCCTGCGACCTCTGAGCTCTTTGGTTTTATTGGGGAAAAAAAAACTCTGTGATTACCCTATTCACATGGTAATGTCACAGTAATGTTTGGAATCAGAACCTAATGTCGCGGCACAAATTTCCACTGTGGGGTGATGCGATTTGAAGGGAACCTCAAGCAAGAGTGAATCATGTGCTCCAAAAATATTCTGCCTGCATTTTATTATTGTTGGTCATGAATTTGCTCATGAAAAATTGCGATACACATCAGATTTTGGACATCCCAACATACCAGGTTTTTTTTTGTCTAAGTCAGATTTCTGTGAGTGATGGAGCTCCATCAATCCTACTGTCAACATCTGAGAAACGGATCTGGATTCATGCATTTCATGTTTTGCTGTAGCGCTTGCGAGCTATTTGGGTGAAGTGTTAGATTATTTCAGTCATATACAGAAACATTCTACTTACATTGGAGGGACAAATGTGTAAAGCTGTGATTTTTTTTTTTATCAACCTCCGAATTGAACCTATTTACACATTCTTACTGTAAGAAATAACACTCTGAACTATGACAAAAAGTAAATCGACCTCCTAATTTCATGTTTCTGATTTTTGCATGAGAGATGAAGCATCTCTTTGTGCAAAATGCAGTTTGGTTAAATCTATGAGTATATAATTCTACAATGAATCGATGATACTATGTCTCAGTTAAGAGCAGCTAATTATTGTTTGGTTTCACAGGGAACATTTCAGTTTTTTAACACTTCAGAGTCATTTTGTTTCCATTTCTGGTTGGTAAATGTTATTTGTTGTACTTTCATGTGATGTCTGCGCAGCATATAGCATATATATACAGTTTCAATCAATAGCTACTGAAGCATGTCTGATTGTAGAAGGAAAACACTACAGGACCAAGTTCCAGTGCTTTCCACTCTTCAGCAGATTGTGGCAAGCTTTTGTATAGAATAAAAGCTCCCAGCCAATTTCATTGTCCCTGTAGTCAGACTTCCCTAGTCCGCAGCTTGGATACAAACTGTTTTTTACTGATCCCTCGTGAGTTGGACGGTCCCGGGAACGTAATACAGCACATTGCCTTTAATACTGCAGGTAAAACTGCAGCGTGGAGTGTTTCAAAAACAGAAATTCCAACAAAACAGAATGTCAAACTATATGTATTCCCTAATAAATGATGTATCTGTTTCCAAAAATCTTTCAGAATTTACATTCTGTCAATCTACATTATGAAACAGTCACAGTAACATAGAGATGGGGGGGAGAAAACAGCTGTAACAATATCAGGCAGACTTAAGGTGTCTCATATCTCTAAAGAACTGTTATCTCCTGCCTCTTTAATGTCTCATATTGGAAATACCACTCTCTGCAATAGATTCCAGAACCTTCTAACCACAGTAAGAACTCTATGTCTTTCCCTCTGTCTCAGAGACTATCCAACATCATGAAGAGTTCAGACTCTTTCATTTGTACTGAGCTCTGAATGTTTTCCTGGACTTTCACACCTAACTCATTTTGATACAAACATTATCCCATAAATTCCAGTTCATTTCATTCCAAATGAGTCCAATTCTTACAGAAACAATTAAAAAAAGGTTTCTTTCCTGCTGAAACCAACAGATTGCACAAAATCTTCTCTTCAATCCAATATCCTATGCCAGGCGTGCACGAGGCACTGGTGGAAATGGAACAGACAGACAGCTCAGGGATACTTGAAAAGAAACAGAAGCACAAGTTACCGACAATCTCGCACCTGAATGGAGAAAAAAATAAATATAGCGATGAACGGTGAATCATGGAATGTCGTCCATCAGTGAATTATGGCACCTGGACAGGATGTGACTCTCAGCATCATGAGAATTCATCTTATTGTTTCACCGTTGAGGTCTACAACGTGCACAGCTGTTTAACCGCAATTTATGAAGATATGTTAATACCACGTTTCAAGGGATTACACAAGGAAATGGGGATCATTATTACAGTAGCTGTGTTCTTGAGCGTCCAATGGATGCCAAAGAGCTGCGAAAATGCAAATAGACCATCTTCTTTCATCTGTTAATAAAGAACTATATATAGCTATGGATTAAAAAGCACTGTGCAGTTAATATAATGCGGTGAGGAATGAATAAACCGGAGGAAAAAAAAGTTAAATTGGATACGGCAGGCTGTAAAATAAATTATGCGCTCAAATAAAAGCTACAATTAGGCCCTTGTAGGTTGTGTGCTGCTTCAACACAAGAAATGAGTGATTATACCCAGAAATAGTCATAGAATAGTCTTCTGGTGTATATGTCTGTTTTGTGCCTTTTAGCCCTCCTTCATGCATATTTTAGATTAATGCATTGGCTGAAAACAAGGTCAGATCTGATTTTAACATCTTATGGTTAACATTGGATTGTTTAACTATCGCTTCCACATCTGCAAATAAAGTGGACGACACTCAAGTTGAAGTGTGAATCTGCTACCATGCCAAATATTCATTTTTGTCATAGGCACACCAATTAATGTGACCATTTCTAAAACTATTTGTGAAGGAAATTAAAAAAAGACTCAATGAATATTCGGATTGGAACTATGATCCCTGTTTCAACCAGTGGGCAGTTCTGACCAACATGTCATTGGGTCAGTTGCCCCCCCCCCCCCCACCTCCAGGAGGCCGGTCCCTGATCCCTGGTGGTCACTGGCCTGGTTTTGGGGTGTTGGTACCCTATCTGCCACTCTACTTGGCTAAGGCAGACACTTTATTTCCACATGCTGAATCATTTATTCGGTTGCTTTACATATTCAGAAAGGTTCCACTTTTTTAGTGTGTTTTATGGAGGATTTTTCTAGTCATCGTTTTTTTTGCTAATGGATCTTAATGCTTGACTTTTACCTGCGTCCTGGTAAGAGCATCTCACATAGCTGAATGTTATACTGCAGTCATCATCATGGTTGCTTCCTGTTCACATGCAGGATTCATGTATGACCAAGTTGCTCGTTGCTTTTGTTCCCATAGTTTTTCCTGCTGGTTCGTTTCCTGTAAGTTGCATTTAGGCCTTCTTTGACTGCATGATGTATCAACAAAGTTAGATCTTTAAGAATTAGTTGTGGGTGAAACTCAAAGAACTAAAAACATTTGATTTGCTATTTAATCCTGAAACAAAATGAAAAGACACGTCTAAAAAAAGCCTTTTAGGATCAGGGTTGTTGAAATGACACATTTAAAAAAAAATCATCGTTTCAGGATTGAAAAATTAAACATATTCTTAGGAAAAAAATTAAGAGACACATAGAACAGTGTGATAAGCTACTGTTAGAGCCATTTTTGATTCACATGTCTGTGCCTGGTTGACAAAGAATAAGCAATTTAGAGTGAGTTTGAGGGGGAAAGAAAATCGAATTTGTATATAAGTGTTGTGGTTTGCAAAGAGCATATAGAATTTAAAGTGAACAACTCTCCAGCTTTTGTGTGCCTGCTTTTTTCTTTTCACCTCACGCACACATTTCAGTACACCTATTTTCTTCCTTTCAAATGGTTTCATATCTGTGCGTTTAATGGATCGATTACAACTGTGAAGCTGACATAAACCGGCCTCTATAACAGTTTGAGACATCAATAGCTGGCCATTAGATGTAAATCCCTAGCATGGAGAATGAAATCTTGACAAGAGCTCGAGAATAAGCAGCACATTGTCAAGGTAATGTCATATTTTTCACTTTCAAAACCATAAAGCAATAAAACAGCACCAAAGCAGCTCTAGTGTCATCCAGAGCCATTTGCTGCCACTAAACAGGCTTTTATGATAATTTCTATATGAAAAATCAACAAGTTCAACTCAGAATAGAATCCTGGAAGGACCATCTTCCTGGTTTTCTGAGAGGTAACAGTGAATGCACCGGTACCCGTCAGGGAGGTTCTGAGAATTAAAAAAAATGAAAATGGTAGCATACAGGTAACGCTGACTATTGCCCCTTTCCTCCTGGCAGATGTACGTGACGTGCACGGTGCAGGCGAAGGGCACCCGCCTGGCCAAGCCCGTCCTGTCTCTGGGCCTCATGTGCCTGGCCTTCCTGACCGGTCTGAACCGGGTGGCCGAGTACCGCAACCACTGGTCGGACGTCATCGCGGGCTTCATCATCGGGACGGCCATCGCCACCTTCCTGGTGAGACTCCAATATGCTATTTAGGAGCACAAAGAGTCTGTAAAGGATCTTGGATTTTGGAACATTTGAAACTCACAGGATCAGTCCACCCAACAGAAGAGTCCATTACTCTAGGCTTTATAGCTGGAAAACATCTTGCTTGACCACACAAAAAAAGGCACCTGATCTGAAAAGTGGTGTCTACAAATTAGTTTGGCCTTTGTTTGGCATTGTCCGCTGACCATCTCTAACGGCCATCCTGAATCAACCTGTGATTTTTAAGGAGAACTGCCTTAACTTTGTCATCATGGCAATCTGTAATATTCAACACAAGTCAATCTGACCAAGTTTCCTCAACTTCATTCTGTTCACAAGCCTTTTTGTAGCCTTTTGTCACTTGTACACAGCAGAGCCGTCTCAAAAAATTCCTAATTTTATTTTTTACATAGTGTCCTTTTATAGAATATCTCCCGAAAATGCTATTGCATTGTTTGAGTTTTTGTTGTATCTCCTTTATCATTTGCAAAGTGTTGTTTAGGTGTAATACAGGGGTTATAATCAACATCTATTTCTGGTTTTACAGAAATCATGCTAGGAAAGCTCTCAGCTGCCGGTTGTGTTAGCAAATTGAATTGATTAGCCTTGACCAGTTTATTACAGGTTTATTTTTCTTAATGAGCTTGATGATCCCCAGTTTCACTGCTCTGGAAACAATAAATCAAACCTTCTATATATCTCCTCAGCTGCCTTAAAATAGGTAATTACTTTTTTAATCTGAAGACATGTTTAGAGTCTTTTGAAATCATGTAATGGCTGCATCTTTCAGAGCAGCAGGAGCAGAGGAAAAACGTCAGTTAACCTGTTCAGCCAGTGACCTACATACTGGGGTTGTGTTATAAACCGACAAAACCAGGCAGAACTCGCCTTCGTTCCTTTTATTTCAGTCTTTTCTTTGACATTTCTGTTTGCAGGTGGCTTTGTAAGCTGCAAGCCCGCTTGGATTTATAGCTATATGGCTTTGTTTCTGTAGGTGGTGTGTGTGGTCCATAACTTTAAGGGGAAGCTGCTGTTGGGCGATGACCCGTCAGCTGACCAGCAGCCCAGCGCCACCATGCTGAACATCGGCCGGGTGGAGAGTCCTCTGGAGAAATACATCGCCTCACAGGTAGGGACAGTAAAACACAGCACACCTGGACTGTAGCTGTATGTTAGACACATGTTGGATTGATTTTTTTAAAAAAGTAGTCGTTTTTTTTTTGCATTTTTACAAAAACGTGCTTGTATTTGCCATAGAAGTATCGGACAGAGCCGATATGTGTGTGTAATAATGCATGAAACAGTGTGGTAATGGCTGTCGTTCTGCCTCACATAAACACACACACACACACACTGCTGCAGGAGACAGATGATGAAGACGAGGAGCCTTCCTACATTAAGGACTGCCTCCAAGCATTCCTGCACTGGGTGCAGGGCCTCAGCTGGTTCCAGCATTTCAGAACTAAAAGGCAACCCAGCCAGAGAGCGCTTTGGAACACTTTGTACCAAATTTCTGGACTTAAACACTCCTCTTTGGGATTTTTTTACATCAACATTAAACCGACATGGGGTTCATCTGGCTAGTAACTGTATGATTATACAACTGGAAGGCAGAATTCCCAGATTTGCTGCAATTTAAAAATTCTAATTGATCCATATATATGGACATGGAAACCATGGATTTTATTCTGTCCATATTAACTATGTGTTATCTGCACATGTAATTGATCTACAGTACATTATAGATGTGTAGGTTAAGTCCCAATGAAAATTAGATCAGACCCACCGAGTACCATAAGTCTGTAGGAATTGAATTAACTTTAAGCTACAACTAAATTCTACTAAAAATGTATATCTGATTCTCACTTTTTTTAAACTTGTACAGAAGAGATAGAATTATACTTGAGAAAGTCGCATACTAAACGATGTCAGGCAAAGTGAGAACCGTTAAATAACGCGTTGACAAACTCCTGACCTCATTCTACTCAGAAAAAAGAGGCTTTGAAGATAGATTTATGATGTTGCTATCTTTTTTTTTTTTCAAAGTCTTCTCTTCAACCCTTTTGGAATATTCTATATACAGCTGCATAGAGCAAGTATTTTCACCCTGAATCAGAATGACTCCATCTATGAAATGACAGATATGTACACATAAGAG